AACCTGGGATGGAAAGGTAAGGCCTTAGGGTTTAGGGTTTAGGGTTTAGGGTTTAGGGTTTGGGGTTTAGGGTTTAGGGTTTAGGGTTTAGGTTGCTGTGGTACTCTAGGATTGGGGACGTCTTGTTCCGCGTTTTGCAATGTGGAGGGTCTAAAGGGGGTTTGGCGATGACGTCTATGCCGAGATGGGGGTTATAGAGCTTCGGGTTGTTGAGGGCCACAGCCCAAAAGCTCAAGTCGTGAACCCAACTCCTGAGTCCAAAGCAGTCCAGCCCAAACCCGTTTACTCTGACAAACCCTAAAACACTGCAAGTCCGAACCCTTCACCATAGCGAAAAATCACGAAGAAAAAGCCTCGCAAAATTTGCACGAAAACATGGCAGGCGTGTGACAAACACACAAAGCACGCATTTAGAAACCGCGGCACTTTCGCATAATCCAGCAAAACCGTGGCTTGTTCTGCGCTGATTTTTCGCACGTAAATGTGCCAAAACCTTAGTACAACCATGAAATCCATGAACAAAAATAGGACAAACAAAGAAACCCGCAGAACATTCTTGTGAAGGCGTTGACTGCAACGAGTAGTTTATTCTACTACCTCGGCCAGGAGCACTGCCTTACTGCCATTGGGACATCGGCTGAGACTCCATGCACCAGGCCGGCACGTCCTCCTGGCTGGGTTACCAACTGCCCGTTCTGCAGCCTGGAAGTTCGCGGCGGAGGCAAAGCGATGGCTGAGCATCAGAAGGTGAATGTGGCCTGCAAACAAATCCAGGCAGCCTTGGCCGCGGACACGGAAGGCTCAAGTTCTGCAGAGGACTCTGCCCGGGGCGCCGCTGCCACTTCGCCAGAAGGTGGGTCTGCCAACACCCTAACCTCCTCGTCACCGGCGCCTTGGTGCCCTTGGTAGCCAGCTTTCGGTTTCGTGTCTGGTGACTCGGCAGTGACGCGTATACCGGAAGATGCATACAGATCCATGCGACGAGATGTTTTGAGGGTTCCAATAGTCTCTATACCATGATCGTAGAAAGGTCCAAATTAAACATGAATACAGAAATGAGTGACTGTGTCGCCAGCCTTTCACTTCACTATAGGCCTTTATTACCACAACTCATTTATCCAAGATCTACAGTATGCAGGACACGCATAAGGCAAGAGAGAGAATAATCATGAGCGGTCCCTTTTAGAGATGTTGTAATAATCCCAGATCCACCACTAAAGCCATAATCACAACTATCAGACATGACCCACTCCAAGAAGTAGAACTTGTGCTCCAGCGAGACATTCGCAAGCCTTCGTTTGGACACTGGCTGAGGCTGCCCCCTCGCGGACAACACGTCCTGGCTGGGCTGCCAACTGCCCTTTCTGCAGCCTGGAAGTTCGCGGCGGAGGCAAAGCGATGGCTGAGCATCAGAAGGTGAATGTGGTCTGCAAACAAATCCAGGCAGCCTTGGCCGCGGACACGGAAGGCTCAAGTTCTGCAGAGGACTCTGCCCGGGGCGCCGCTTCGCCAGAAGGCGGGTCTGCCAACACCCTAACCTCCTCGTCACCGGCGCCTTGGTGCCCTTGGTAGCAAGCTTTCGGTTTCGTGTTTGGTGATGCGTCTACCCGACGAGAGGGTTCCAATCGTCCCAATGCCATGCCACTTCAAAAACCAGAAATCGTGCTCCAGCGAGAAAATCGCAAGCCTTCGATTTGGACACTGGCTGAGGCTGCCCCCTCACGGACAACCAGTCCTGGCTGGGCTGCCAACTGCCCTTTCTGCAGCCTGGAAGTTCACGGCGGAGGGAGGGGCATGGCTGAGCATCAGAGGACCAATATGGCTTGCAAGGAAGCCCAGGCAACCATGGGTACCCTAAACCTTAACTCTTAGCCCTTAACCCTTACCCTAAACCCTGAACCCTAAACCCTAAACCCTAAACCCGGAAACCCGCAAACCCGGAAACCCTAAACCCTAAACCCTAAACCCTAGAAGCCCTAAACCCCAAAACAGGCAACCATGGCTACGAAAGGCTCGGCCCCTGCCCGGAGCTCTGCTGCCCCGGCTCGGGGCGAGATGGCCAGCACGCGACCCACTTCGACGCCAGCTACTTGGCCGTGGAGTCGAGGTTGGTTCTAAAGATATAAGCCACCCTGAACCCTAAACCCTAAACCCGAAACCCTAAACCCTAAACCCTAAGCCCTAAGCCCTAAACCCTAGACCCTAGACCCTAAACCCTAAATCCTGAACCCTGAACCCAAAGTGTCACCTGAAACCAACCGCAAGCCCCAATCGCAAGTTCTGGGCGAAATTCCAAAACGCCCTGGAGCCGATGGCAAAGTCTTTTCACCAGGGGTTGTGGGGGTATGTATACGGTGCCCTGCTATACATGGTCAGTTCTTAAAATGCTGGTCCTCTTTTACTACCCTAAATACGAGGGGCCGCCTTAAAATAAGGACCCCAGAAGGGGCCAGAGCTTAGAGAATCACCACATGGCATCTGATGTTTGCAAGTCAGTGCTCAGCTCAGGCTGCGCAGAGACCGGCCCAATACGGTTTCCTCCCAAGACCGTGAAGCGTTCAGTGTTTTCGAGTCTAGAACTTGTTGGCTCTAGGGTTTAGGGTAAGTCTAAACCAGAAACCCTAAATCGCTGGAAGTAGACAAGCATGCTGCTGCCTGGCTCGTCCCAGTTGTGACCCTTTAACCCCTAAGCCCTAAGCCCTAAACCTTCACAGCTTTTCGAGACCTTTGCAGGGTTATCAGCTGGGATGTTCCCCCTATACTAACAGTCCTTAATGGGGATGATAGTACCCCCCCCCTGTTAGAATCCCTAATTAAGGACTGTTAGTATAAAGGGGGAACATTCCAGGTTGTGAGGCTTAGGGTTTAGCGTGGGTGCACATTCGGGCCTCCAACCAAGGTGCCGCTCGTTCCTGGCCGTCAACCACCTGGCCACGCCTGCAGGGCAGCTTGGGTCCAACCCTACTTGGAGGTTCAGGGTACTTAGCAACCCCACTTATAAGCCCCTTAAAGTGGTTTCAAGTACAGTTAGAAGTACAGTTATAGTTGGTTACCAGGGGGCACTTTCGAGTGAGCTGCAGAGCATGAAGGGTTGTTTGGGTGAATCCCTCTAAAGAGGTACAAATTCAGGGCCCATACAGCAGAACCTTCTAAGGGAGGCAAGGGGCCATGTTAATACCAAGGGACCCTGTATCTCGAACACCCCAAGTTTGGGTTGCGAGGCTTCACCTGTGCAAAGTTGGAGACTGACGTTTGAATCTAGGGGCCTTACTCCATAGAATAGTGTTTTGTGGGGGTTGCTATATGTATATTGGGACCAAAAGGGAATCCTACTTGCAAAAGAATCCGACACCTATATTCGGTTACCTGGGCTGCGCTTTGCTGATGGGCCCTTGCCTTGGGTGCTCGTCTGGTGCGAGGTCCCGCAATTCAACAAACCCAAAGCTCCCAACCACGAGCGGCCAAAACCTCCAAAAAACCCACCGATTCCAATAAGGCCCCCCCCCCCCCCCCGAAGGCACACGAAAAGCGAACCTGGCCGTCGGAACAGCCTGAGGCGTCCACACCACCTCCGAGCCGACCGCCCAGAGCGCAGACGCCCAGGGCACAGACGCCCAGGCCGCAGACGCCCAGGGCGCAGACGCGGGCGCTTCGGGAGCATCGGCCAGCAGGCCCATTTTTGGCTCTAAGCAGAGCTACCAGCGGTTTCAAGAGCGATTGCAAGCTAGCAGACAAAGTGTAGCTGCGGCTACATGCTTGTTGCAACTTGTACACAGAAGGCTCCGAAGTCTTGAACAGTCCACAAGTCCAATCGCTCATAGGATGTTGAGGATGCTGACTTCTCGAACTGGTGGTCCCTTTTTGGCTCCCCTCAGCCCCAAGTACAAGGTCCTGGGTTGCCCTACTTGGACACTACTGTACGGCATGGGGGGCTAAACGACACTCGGGTTTGTGGTCTCGGGACCTCTCAGACCCTACAGTACAGTTGAACGGCACTGGGACGCTAGGATCTGAATCGCTAAGCCCCAACCCGCACTGGAAGCCCAATTTGCCTTGCTTGCACAGCACTTTGTGCAGAGATCAGGATTCAGCGGCGCTTTGCCGTTGCCGCGGCCGCGCCAGGTTTCATACCTGAACGGCTCGAGGTATTGGTGGCCGTACTGACAAAAAATTGCACGCCGCGGGCGGTTCTGAACTAAATTGTCTTCCTGTTTAGGTACCCCAAAAGGAACATGGAGAATAACTCAGAAGAGTCCTCACATCCTCATGGCGCAATGAAGCTTTAGGGAGTGACGGTTTCCTGGGTTGCTGTGCACCTTTGGGGAATTCAACGGCTGTCCCAAGCCTTGTAGCGCTCTTGGCCGCGGTTCGGGCCCGACCCTCTCTGTTTAGGGCGACAGGCCCTTGTGGTACTTTCAAGGGTTCAGGGAAGGCGCTAGTGTATCGAGCCATGCTGTCCCTTATGATGTGGTGCACTTAAGCTGCCCGAAGCTTCGTAGTGTGGGGGTTTTCCATAGGCGTGGTACCCCCCTTGTCCACTGTTCAGGGTTACGGGTTTTAGGTGGCGGCTTGCAAGAGGAGCCTCAAGATTAAAACGACTAAGGAACCTTCTGCGTCGTGCATCTCCGATACACAAATAAACCGACCTCTCGGTGCTCTCTGCGCGCCTCATTTGTGTTGCGATTCGTTTCGGAAAGCTCTGGGGCTCACGGATTCGTAGCGTAGCTCCAAGTGCTGTCCAAAGTGAGCTGATCGCATGGCAGGGCATTAACGCACAGAAAAACTCGACGCGACGCGTAACGCCCGCGAATCCTGAGCCCGAGCCCGCTTTTTGACTTGCACCTTTCCATACCCCTCAAGCCCCCTAACCCCAAAACCCGGAAAACCCGGAAAACCAAACCCTAAACCCCAAACCCCAAACCCCCAACCCCAAACCCCAAACCCCAAACCCCAAATAACACACCCTAAACCCCAAACCCTAAACCGGCGGCGTTGCGGTCATGGCCAGTGCCCTGGTCACCGGTGGCAACCAGGGAATCGGCTTTCACACTGCCAGGCCATGCTTTCCCAATGCCTTTGGTGGGCTTCTTTTGCTTGTGTTGCTTTTGTTGTTGATTCTTCTGTGTTCAAGTACTCAACCTCCCGAACCCAAAACCCTAAAACCTTGAAGGTTTTAGGGTTTTGGGTTAGGGAGGCTGAGCGGCCTTCGAAATCGTAGGTTTCGGGATCCTGCCGCTGCGGGGGCCGATGTGGGTGTGGGTTTGCATCGGGACTCCTCTTGTTCAGCTCAGGGAGCATGCGTTCCTCAAGCAAGAAGGGTGTAGGGTTTGGGATTTAGGGGTCAAGGTTCAGAGTGTGTTTATCCTGTGGTATTCAGGCTGCTAATCGCATCCCGGAAGTACAGCCGCGCCGTGGACTGCGCTTGGGGCATTTTGTGTGGTGCTACCCTGGGCCCTGGGGCCCGACACCCCACAGGCCAAACCCCAGAACCCGAAACCCTAAACCTTCAAGCGCGATATGCGGCCCTATATACCCCGTAGCACACAGCTTTGGTCCTTGCATCAAGAAGGCCGCTGGGGATTTTGGGTTTGTGGGTGTTACATTCCTTGTTCGAGCTCCGGTTTTGGGAGCCCCAAAGCGGACCTTCTGAACCCCAGATAGAGTGTACCCTAAACCCGAAACCCTAAACCCTAAACCCTAAACCCTAAACCCTAAACCCTAAACCCTAAACCCTAAACCTGAAATCCTAAACCCTAAACCCTAAACCCTAAACCCTAAACCCTAAACCCTAAACCCTAAACCCTAAACCCTAAATCCTAAACCCTAAACCCTGTAGAAGTGTGAGGATGCTGGTATCTGACTTTCGGGCCGGCTAGTTTGCTAGTCCGTGCTCTTCTTGTTGGGGGTTCAAGGGCCACCAAATCTTTCACGCATGTCACCTCTCATACTATTGTAAGCGCATGAACTTGCCATCTCTTAGGGTTTAGGGTTTAGGGTTTAGGGTTTAGGCGTCAGCCCTGTCCCAAGCCGCAGGCTTCAGACCCCAAATCTTGGGCGGACCTGCTCGGAGCCCTTGGAACCCTGCGCCCCGAGAACCCCCAAGCCCTAAACCCTAAACCCTAAACCCTAAACCCTAAACCCTACACCCTAAACCCTAAACCCTAAACCCAGGTGTCCTGATCGCCTGCCGCAGAGAGGCAGCCGGCCGGGATGCTGCGAAGGTGCTGACCTCTTGTTTTTTTGACCTGGCGTACAGGGTTTAGGGTTTAGGGTTTAGGGTTTGGGGTTTGGGGTTTTCGGGTTAGGGTTTAGGGTTTAGGGTTTAGGGTTTAGGGTTTCTAAAAACCCAAAAATCTCCTCGAACCTTAGTTGGGGTTTTAGGGTTTAGGGTTTAGGGTTTAGGGGTCAGGGTCACCTTAGTTAGGGTTTTAGGGTTTAGGGTTTTAGGGTTAGGGTTAGGGTTCAGGGTTTAGGTTTTAGGCTCAAGCCCCCGAAAGCTACAGGAGCTGGGCTGCGAGTTCGTGCATCTGGATGTGGGTGATGCCACCAGCGTCTCGTCGCTGCCAGCCCGCCTGCAGCTCCCCGGCTCAACTTTGGACAGATGGGGGTGGGGTATTCTCTCAATTCTGGGGCCTTTTTGGGGTATCGTAGAAAGAAGGCCCCGTGTTATAACGTATAACATGAGCCGAAAAAGGCCCTCGTGTAGGGAACCCCTGTATTGGGTTTCCGGGTTACGGTTGAGGCAACATTGTGGCCCGTTTCTGGTCTCTGTCATAGACGGTTCTGTATCAGTTCAGAGTGCCCACAAGGGTTTGGGGGCACTAACATTGCATCGTTCCTTGGTTCGTTCGAAGCCTAGGACGTCGGGAGTTTCGAGACTGAACCTGCTGGTGAACAACGCGGGTGTCATGTACGATGGCTGGAGCCGAGAGAACTGGGAAAGGCATTGGAGCACCAACGTTGCCGGCCAGGTCGGTGGCTGAAATTCTTTGGAACTGTGGGGCAGACCTTGAACCCCCAGCCCGGAGTGCTAGGCCAAATGCTAGACCCCTAAACCCTAAACCCTAAACCCTATATAAACCCTGAACCCTAAACCCTAAAACAAGAACCCAGAACCCTAAACCCCCCTAAACCCTAAACCCTAAACCCTAAACCCTAAACCCTAAACCCTAAACCCTAAACCCTAAACCCTCAACCCTCAACCCTAAACCCTCAACCCTAAACCCTAAACCCTAAACCCTAAACCCTAAACCCTAAACGGTCCTGGCCAGGTGGAGCTGTTCAATGCCTTGAAATCCCACCTGGACACGCGCGCTTGCGTCGTGAACGTCTCCTCCGGCTGGGGCTGCAAGTCTGAGATGCAGAACGTGGCCATCGCAGACAAGGCTTCTTGGGGGTGTTTAGGGTTTAGGGTTTAAGGTTGGTTTAGGGTTTAGGGTTTGGGGTTTCGGGTTTCGGGTTTGGGGTTTAGGGTTTAGGGCTTAGGGTTTGGGTGCGGGGTCTGGGGATTGGGGGTGCCAGCTTTGAGTAAGCCATTTCTACAAGCTTGCAACCGACTAGCCTTGATCCTGTACGGCCAGGTTTAGGGTTTGGGGTTTAGGGTTTAGGGTTTAGGGTTTAGGGTTTAGGGTTTAGGGTTTAGGGTGCAGGGTTCCCCTCAGCGTGGGCATGCTTTACAACCCCTAACACCATGTGAGTAGCACTCTTTCTTGGGTTACATCGCCCTTGACCTCAAGGGACAATGCTGCTGAGCAACGATGCTGAACCAGGGCCTAAACCCTAACCCTAAACCCTATACCCCAAACCCTAAACCCTAAACCCTAAACCCTAAACCCTAAACCCTAAACCCTAAACCCTAAACCCTAAACCCTAAACCCTAAACCCTAAACCCCAAACCCTAAATCCTAAACCCTAAACCCAATCTGAGACGCCCGAGGTGTGGGCCTGTGACTCCGTCGAGGAACTCCTTGACTTTGGATCCAAGGCTTCCCTTCTTAGGGTAAGAACTGAGCCCTAAACCCTAAACCCTAAACCCTAAACCCTAAACCCTAAACCCTAAACCCTAAACCCTAAACCCTAAACCCTAAACCCTAAACCCTAAACCCGAAGCCCTAAACCCACTATCTAACGGTAGCTATCTGGGCCCTAAATATGGTCCCTTACCTCCTCTAAAGGGTTTTTGGTGTATAGGGTATATAGGGTCCCCGTTTAATTACAGGCCCTCCGCAGCGACGGGCCCCAGACCAGAACTTTTGAGGTTCCCTAAACCCAGACCCTAAACCTTAAACCCTAAACCCTAAACCCTAAACCCTAAACCCTGAACCCTGAACCCTGAACCCTAAACCCTAAAACCCGAACCCCAAAGCCCTAAACCCCAAATGCGAACCCCAGGTCTTCGGAGAGTGCAAGCAGTCGGGCTGGTTCGAGTTCTACAAAATCTCCAAGTGCTTTCTGAATCGATGGACGGTGCTCCTGCATGAGAAGGACAACACTGTGCCCCCGAATCAATCCCAAAACCATACACCCTGGTGTTTTCTTAGAAGAGAGTCAGGGACTTGGGTTCCGTGCAAGGGAAGGGATATCGAACTCCCGGTAGACTCTAAACCCAAACCCCCAAACCCTTTCGAACTCCTCCAAAGACCCTTTGAGCCCAAGAAACTCGAAACCCGAAACCCTAAACCCTAAACCCGAGACAGCCCGGAACCCAACTGCAGAGGACCCTGACCTGAAGGCTCTGGGTGCCAGCGTCTACGCAGTTTGCCCAGGCTGGTGCCACACCAGCACCTGGGCCAAAAACCGTAAACCCTAAACCCTAAACCCTAAACCCTGAACCCTAAACCCTAAACCCTAAACCCTAAACCCCAAACCCCAAACCCCAAACCCCAAACCCCAAACCCTAAACCTTATCTGGGCTGAAGGGGCTTTGTCTGGGCCTCAGGCGACTCCGGGTTTCAGTGATTCAGCCTAAACCCCAAACCCTAAACGGCCCGACACCCTGAACCCTAAAACCCAAAACCCCAAACCCAAAACCCCAAAACCCAAAACCCTAAACCGCAGCAGCGCAGGCATGGGTGACCGAGCTGGTGGCATTCCGTCTCGCTCGGCCGAGGAGGGCGCGCAGAGCGTTGTGGCGGCCGCGTTGGGCAAGGCAGCGGGTACTTCAACCGCTATCCCCCCAAGTCCCTGCAACCTTGATCGGACTGAACAAGAACCTCAAACCCTAAACCCTAAATCCTAAACCCTAAGCCCTAAATCCTAAACCCTAAGCCCTAAACTCCATAGGCCCTAGGCCTGAATTCCTGAGACCCAGTTTTTGGGTGACAGCTCCGAGGTGCCTGCTGGAAGCCTCTCACGGGACGGAGAGCAGGTTGGTGGCAAGGGCATATGGTAGTCTAAACCGTAAACCCTAGACCCTAAACCCTAAATCCGAAACCCTAAACCCTAAACCCTGAAACTTAAACCCCAAACCCTAAAACCTACACCCCAAACCCTGTTTCGCCGGCCCCGTGCGCCATCAGCTGCGCAAAGCGCAGATGCTCTGCAAAGCATGCTCACTGCGTTGAGCCTTTGCGGCAAACGGTTCAGAACCCAGAGACACCAAAGCCCCTTAATTAAGGAATATACCTTAAATTTTAATAGGAACCCTAATATGATTTAAGGTATATTCCTTAATTAAGGGGTTTTGAAGTCTCTGGGAATGTAGGGCATGGCTTTTACGCAAGAACGCCGCGCAAACGACGACTTGGCCTCGTGTTGGCGACAGGATTTGAGCTGTGCCTCTTCAGGCGATTGCAACAACAGCCTGTCAAGAGCTGTCCAGCGTTGAAGCCGCAAAAATAGCGTTCAGGGTTTTGTGTGCCTGCATGAGCTGTATAATCCACCACCCCCCGAATACTAGATATCTCTCCTCTCCAAGCCAGAATGACAATCTTCCATATTCGGGCAGTGACTCACCTCGCTGAGGTGAGTTGCTCGGTGCTTGCAACTGGACTCTGCCAGTTTCATCCAGTTGAGTTCAGCCCTTGCCCTCACGCACTGTGCCTGTGCCAAGACCGAGTTTCCCCAACAAGCCCAAAACCGTCTCAGCTGCGAGGTCAAGCGCCTTGGCCCCCGAGATTCCTTTCAGAAAGATGGCGCATCCGAGTCCCCCAACCTGAATCTTCGACCGAATCCACAGTCCGGGGTAGGGTTCATGGCATGGGGGTTTAGGGTTTCGGGTTTTGCGTTGTAGGGTGTAGGGTCCAAAGCTTTTGGGGATATAGGGGTTGGGAGATCTGTTGGGCTTCACATTGCCGGTTCTCTGTAGGTATGTCAAACGCAGCGCCCGCTTCCTTGGCTCGACATGGAGTTTACAGCTTTGTGGGGGCCAGCCAGGACGATCCACTTGGGGTGAGCATGTTGCCGCCAGCACGCACCGCAATTTTCGCTACTTCCACACACTGGACTGTGTTTTGATGTCAGCGCTCCCAGATTGCTGATGTCATGGCTTCCGTGCAAATCATCGTCGTTATTTTCAGTTGAGGGTTCGGGGGTTTGCGCGCTTCTCGTATCTTCTGAGTCTGCCAAGCCATGGGCAGCTGTCAGCGCTCGATTGTGTCTTGCTCACATGGGAGTTTACGAACATAATGGGCCCCCAAATTATAGAATCCCCATAGTAGGATTCCCTTGTATTAAGGACTCCCAATAAGATATCCTGAATCTTGTTCCCCTTTCTAACCCATATACAAACCCCCTATATATACCTTATATGGAATCGTAAACCCCCACATGGAGGTTGCAGGTTCGTGCCTGGGGCTGGGGGCGACGTTCTGGGTGTGGAGCGGCAACCTCAACACGAAATGCGCCCTAAACCTTAAGCCTTGGGATGTTCGCCCTTATGCCAACAGCCCTGAATAGGGCTGGTGGCGTCGCACTTTCTTCCGGCCCCGAGCCCTCCCTGAACCAAGGGTAACAGGTCCGCGTTTTTCTGAGATTTTGAATTTTAAGACAGATGCAGCTCCACAGAAACGACCACGGAAATGGTGCTGAAGGCAAAAAAACTTCTGGAGCTCTTCCGTTCCCGGACCCTCCCCCCCTGTGCCCCGCCAACCTTAAACCCTAAACCCTAAACTACTAAACCCTAAACCCTAAACCCTCAAACCCTAAACTGCTAATGCGTGTTTTGTTTGAGCATGAGGCCGCGGAGATCCTTAGAGCACTGAGTTCTGGCTTAGGGCAGGGTTTCGGGTCTGGGGTTCTTGGGGCTTCGGGCTCCAAATTCTGGAGTTTTTTGGGAATTTTGAGGTTGTCGGGTTGGGTTGAGGGCCTGATCTTTAGAGGGATAGCGCCCACCTGGAGCCCTATAAACTTAAACCCTCCCAAATCCTAAACCCAACAGGTCGTCCCCGCCAATCCCAACCCGAAGCCCTAAACCGTAAACCCTAAACCTTAAACCCTAAACCCTAAACCCTTAACCCTTAGCCCTAAACCCTAAACCCTAAACTCTAAACTCTAACTCCTGAAACCCAACTTCCTAGAAGTGGGGAGGGGGCGAAATGTTGCAGCCACAGCCACTCATCAAGCCCACCATGGCACATCCGGTGTCTGAAGCTCCAGGATTTCGGGTTTGGGGGCTTAGAGGGCTGACGGGTTTTAGGGGAACATCTCCGCGTTCTCGTTCCTGCCGCGGAAGCTGTTGGCTTGAGCCATGGATGCCGACTTGCTGCAACGCTTCAATCCAGAGGACAGCGCGAAAGGGGGGGCCGGTTCTCCTTAGCTCACCTTGGGGCCGTGAGCGTCAGGGTCTCAGCGCCCTCTCAAACCTACATCCCTAAGCCCAAAAACCATGATGTGGCGTTGAGAAGAGGGGTTTCAAAGAAATTTGGGGTGCAAAGAAGAGGTACTCCGTTTGTCGGGAAGTATTCCAATTGGGAGCTTAGGCCAAAAGCCTACACGAAGTTGGGTTCAGCCACCGGATAGCACGATGCGCGTGATGGTGCCTCATCGCACGGCTGGTCAGTCTCCGTCCCCCACCGACCCAAATTCTGTATCCTCACACTCGAAGCCCTGCACGCCAACCATCCCCCCTGACAAGGGCCTGCCTCTCTCCCTCTCTCCCTCTCTCCCTCTCTCCCTCTCTCCCTCTCTCCCTCTCTCCCTCTCTCCCTCTCT